TTGTAGATAAAATGGAAAGAAGAAATAATTCAGAGCAAAAGAAGAGATCTTCTTCTTCTTGTTTGTACTGGCTGGCAGGCTTGGGATTGCAGTTGCAGCCTGCAGGACTAGCGGCAGCGGCTGCGTGATGATTCCAACGATCGTGGCGAGGAAAATTGCGAGGAGCTGCCACGCCTGCTTGGTCACTCCTTCCGGTACGGGAACGAACCAGAGAATGACTCCTGTAGCGATCGAGGCCAGCAGCGGCTTCATCGCCGCCCCTTGCCATGGCTGCACCGGGGCTGGCGCGGGCACCGCCGCGGGAACGGGAACTGGAGTTTCGGAGGAGGATGCCCGGATTCTGAAGGTGCGGAGGGAGGCATTAGATTTGAGGAGGCAGGGAGTGGCGAGGGGCGAGAAGGAGAATCTTCCTCCGGCGGCGACGGAGGCGGAGGAGGAGAGGGAGGGGAGACGGGACGAGAGGCGGGCGGCGGATCTGAGAGTGGGAGAAGGGAGGCGGCGGGATTTGAGAGAAGGGAGGGAATTGAAGGCGAGGGAGCAGGAGGAGGAAGTGGTCAAAGCAAGAGACGCCATCTGGCGGTGGCCGCAACGGCGGCGCGGCGGCGGAGGTTCAGAGGGGATGAGTCGCTCTGTGTTGGGGAAGAAGGGATTTGTTAAGAAGGAGGAAGAAGATGGAATAGGGTTGGGTTTAATCGAAAAGGAAAGAAGGTGAGGGGATAAGGTGGGGATGGGTGGGCCAAAATTTTTGGATTTTGTTTTTTTTTAATTATTCAATTTTTGTAAATGAAATAAAAAGAAAAATGAAATTGTAATTTTTTTATGTTGACATGGCAGTGACCTGGACAGTTGACTAACGGTCAACGGTGTTGACCGTCCAAACAAACGGTCAAACCACGCTCCAGGCCAATTTTGTCAATATGTTGCATAGATCGGGCCAGGATGTTAATTTCTCAAACTACTGGCCAAAGTTGATTACATGGTCATAGTTCAGGCCATAACAAGGTATTAACCCTTGATTTAACATAGCTGGATTTTCGTTGCTCTGACTTTTCTTCTCAAATGTACATACTTTGTCAAAGTAGATGATAAGAACAAATTGTTCTCCTAGGTCACGAGCTCAACGTTAAGGCGGAGAAAGAGAAATCCAAAACCACAAGATGGGAGTACTTGTGAGCTTATTTAACAATATTTCGGGTATTAGGTTTGAGAATAGATTTAGTTTTAAAGTTTTGGTTGGATGTTAACGGATTACTTCGAACGAACAATCGTCTAAAAGAAATGGAGTAATAATTTATATTAATTTTGATTTGTTATCCGAGGATCAATCAAGTTAGTTTAGTTTTGTGAGATTATAGAAAAATACAAATGAACAAATTCTAAGATTTATAAAAAAAAAACCAGACCACCTCAATTTAGGGTGCTATTATGTGACTTTTGAGACACTTGTTAGGTGGGCTTTCTTCTCGTAACCTCCTCTGGGCCTTTATGATTCTATCGATAGGTTTGATCCCCCGATCGGCCCAGACGGCCTACAGAAGATCCATTATTCAATTATTATCGCCCTCTTTTTTGGACCAACTCCCCCACCACAAAGCATGGGGTTAAGAAAATTAGGGGTGTACATGGGTCGGGTGGTTCGGGTTTAGTTATTTTAATCACCCAATCTATGCACTACGGTTTGAGAAATATCAAACCCAAACCCACCAAAAAAAATTTAAACCCTACTGTTTGTTTCTAATTGGGTTGGGTCGGGTTGGCGATATTTTTAAGTAAAAACCCAACCCAACATAAAAATATTTTATAACTAATTAAAATTTCAAACGAATGAACCGAGGTGAAAGGTATCAAAATTCACAAATGTTGTTTGAATTTTAATAAAATGTGATCTACTTCAACATATGTCTTGTTTTTTTCACAATATTTGTTGAAATAGGCTAAAAATGTTATAAACAAACGCACCCATAATATGTTATTCTATTAAAATTGTACACAAGAAAAAAGATTACGTGAATCATAACTATATTCAATTTATGTCTAAACTTTAAGTCGAAGAATGCATTAAATTAGGGAGACCATGAGAGAAAAACATGCCGAAATATCTTAATTTTCTCATAAGTATATGACTACATACGACATAAATATTTTTTAGATCCGAACTCATACTAATAGTTGGAACACGGGTTGGGTCGGGTTCTACGGGTTGTGTAATCCAAAATCCAAATCCAACCCAAAAGAGGCGGGTTGTACAAAAGAAAACCCTCACCCAACCCAAAACTTTCGTTTTAGCGATAAATATGGGTGAGTTGGGTCGGGTTGGACTGGTGGGTCAGTTTGCGGGTGTGTTTGTTCACCCCTAAAGAAAATCACACGAGCTGAGCTGGACATGCTGGCAATTACTGTAATTGTTATTTTATTGCTTACCAGACGTAAGAAAAAAAAAAACAACAAAAGAATCCACAAAGAACCCAAACGAAACAAACAAAACAAAAATGGAGTACAGAAAGGGAGGGAGTTGGTTGAGGGCAGCTGTCGTCTGCATATAAATTGCAGGGTGCAGCGGCTGCGGAGAGCGATCCAAGTGGATTCGGAGAAAGAGAGAGAGAGAGAGAGGTAAAGAGCGAGAAGGAGCCGAGGCGATAAACTATACATTACGCACGCGACGCTAGCGAGAGTGAGCCGTGAGCGAGTGTGCGAGCGAGAGGCTCTTCTTGCTTATGAGATCCTACATATTAGCTTAGCAATCTTCTCAGCCACCTTTGTTTTTCGGTTTGCTTGATATCCAAAACCCACAAATTCGTCTACACCACACCACAGGTCGGTCAGCTTTCTTTCCCTCTTTTAGACGGTTTCTTGCTCTTCATTCTGCACTGGGCTCGATCTGCTCTGTTTTACGGAGGGGGAAGTGCTCTGTTTTCTTGCACCCGACTTTTACTTTTCTGTGAATCAGTAGGTAAATGGTTGTTGGTATTGTTTTTTTTTTTGTGTTTCGCAACCCATTATGGGTCCAGCATTGATTCTATGACCGAGGTAAGAATTTGATTTCTTACCGCCTTGTTTGGTTGCTGGGAAAAAAGGGCAGGCACGGTAAAAGAAGGAAGGTTTCTGGGCTCCGACCTCTCATAAACAGACAGAAGGCACCGCATATGTGGATAAAAGCTAATTAGAAGTCAGCTCTCTGTCATGAATGCAACTTGGATAGATCCGTTTTTGTTGTTGTTGCTCCCGGTGGTCCTCGCCAAGAAAAAGTCTTTGATTTTTATCACCTTTTCCATGAATGATCAAGTTGTGGTACGGGAGGAGGAAAGCTCTTCCTGGGCAAAAAAGTTTCTGATTTTGACACTACCCTTTTGCGCTATGATCAAAAAGTTGCCATAGGTTCAGATGTTCGTTAGTTCAATTCATTCGTTCGTTCCAATTTGTGTTTCAGTTCCTGGCCTCTGGGGATCTGGTTTCTGATTCGCTGTGGGTTTAGTGGGGAACGTTACATCAGTAGGACAACAGGATGGTTGAACAGCTTGATTTCCTGATCTATTGACCATACCATATTTTATTTTAATGCATATGCTCTATTTATTTAGTTTCTATAAGCTACGGTTGAGATTGTTTCCTCTAGCTATTAGTGATAAGCTACGTTACTTTTTTACTTAACATATAGCTGGACTTTTATTTTCCGAAGATAAATAATGCTTGAGCCAAATCTGCTTACGTAGGGTGTGCTGCTATTAGGGAAATTCATTTAACTTCAGGGTTTTGGAGCCTTTGTCCAGTATTTATCTTCTTAGTTCTTGTGCTGATGCTTGTGAATATCCTCCACAAACTTACACAACAAAGCTGTCTTCTTTGTTAGACAATTGTACAAGTTGATGAGGATGTGAAAAATGGTAGCTTGGTCCAGTGAAAACTGTAGGCTTAAGTTGATGTGGCCGGATGGAGATAACAATTATGTTTGCCAATAGTTCAGGCAAGAAGACCAACCATTAGTTGGCTTTCTTTTCTTATATCCCTTTTCTGGGTTTAAATCAACAGTATGACAAAAAGTCGTAATCTGTCGATTCTCTGCACCCTGTAGTAAACCAACCGACCCTTTGAGATGGCTCCATTGATCTTAATGACAATCTACTTGAGTGGTGATTGTGAGATTGCCAATTTGAAAGATTGAGCCGTTTTCACGTGTTTAATTTTCTTCTTTTGACTGTAGATTGAACCCATGTAAATACTATGCATTAAAAAATGCAGGTTATGGTGAGATTTCTCTATCTTGTAGGGGGGAAAATTAATTATCCATGATCAAGTTGTGGTAGGGAAAACAGTTCTGATCTTGACATTGTCCTTTGATCCATGATCAACTTGTCATAGGTTCGGATTTTCATACCTTCATTTGTTCTTTCGTTCGTTCCTATCTTGTTTGTTTCCATGTATGCGGATCTGGTTTCTGATTCGCTATTGATTAATTTAGTGCTAGCGTTTCATCAGCAAAACCACAGGATGATTGACAATCCATATTATAATCTCTGCTCTATTAATTTAGTCTCTATGTCCTTATAACCTACGGCCGATATTATAGCTCTAGGAATGACTGATGGAACTTTGATATAATTAACATATAGCTTAACTTTCACCTTCTGGACTTTTCTTTTCAAAATAAATAACTCAATTTCAGCCAAATCTGCTTACGTTGGTGTATTGCTAGTAGAGGTATTTCATTAAGCATTAAGAGGATTTTGGAAGCTTGTGCAACATTTTCTTCCTAGTTTTTGTACTGATGCTTCTGAATATCCTCCGGAATTTTTATTTAATGCAAGTTGATGTGGATGGTGCAATGGTAGCTTTGGTCCAGTAAAACTGTGGTTTAAGTTCATTGGCTGGATGGAATTAATAATTATGGTTGCCAATAGTTCAGGTCAGGCAGAACCAGCCATTAGTTAGCTTCCTTTCTTGGATTCCTTTTGGGCTTGGTTGTATTAAATGAAAGGCTGTGTTCTTGGTTTAAACAGGAGCATGAAAAATGTCCACAAATGTCTCTGTAGTAAACCAATCTATCCAAGTGGTACTGTTAAGATGTCCAATTTTAAGGGTTTAGCCCCTTTCCCTTTCATTCTTTTGGCTGTGGATCGAGCCCCATAAAACAGTATTTACTTTGCTTTGGAAAAAAGAAAGCGAGTGTCTTAAAGTATACTGTATAGTTACTGTGTCTTTTCTCCCTGATTTGCTGAATCCAAGATGAGCTGTTTTCAACCTTCATCATGCTGGATTTCCTGTTGTGGAGTTCAAGGTGAATTTCATATGTTATGATGTAGTGAAACTACATTAGCTTCTTGGAATGTATGAATCAAGGGGCTCATGATTTCTAGATTAGAAAAATATACCACCAGCAAGTTAACTATTGGTGACGAGTTATCAATTTCAGCTGTATCCAATGCTGCTTCTCTCTTTGCAGGCCCATTGTCCACTGAGACCCTTTTGCATGAGCCTACTTTGATGGGTTGCTTCCAGTCGAAGACGAATAAAGACACACCCGGTTACGAAGAGCCCATTATTCTTGCCGCTGAAACACCTTGTAAGTGGAAAATGTAATCTATTTGCTTCTTGGGGACTCCAGCCACATCCTGATCTTAGATTTTTAGTTAGATCCTGGAAAATATGGCCAATTCATGTAGGAAAGTGAAGGATTAACATCTGAAATATTTGCTTGCAGTTACTGTAAGTGAAGTAGAGGCATTGTATCAGCTCTTCAAGAAGCTAAGCAGTTCGATAATTGATGATGGTCTGATCCACAAGGTAAGGAAGATGGTTTCATATGCTGTGCATGCTCATTTGTGAGACTTTCCTGCTAGTACATAATATGGTTAAATGGATAGTAGCATCTCTAACAGTTCATCCCTTTCCCTGACCAGGAAGAGTTTCAGTTTGCACTCTTCAGGAACAGAAACAAAAGGAATCTTTTTGCAGACAGGGTATGCTGCTTCAATACCCTTTTTTTTTTCTGATCTCAAGATGATCAATTAGTGTTATACTATTAAAATCTTTCACCTTGTACAATGATGTGTTTTCTTTCTTTCTGAGTTCTTTTCTTTTGTATCTTTTAGGTGTTTGATTTATTTGATGTCAAGCGCAATGGCGTAATTGAGTTTGGAGAGTTTGTTCGATCTCTTGGTGTTTTCCATCCAGATGCACCAGTTGAAGACAAGATTTCTTGTAAGTCTTACTTCTGTCTATAGGAGAATATCTTGGTATGCACCCTTTACAAGACAGAAACCATTTGGAGAATATATATGTATGCCATTTCGTTTGTTACCTTCTAAGTGGAAGAGGTCCTTTTCTGCAGTTGCTTTCAGATTATATGATCTCAGACAAACCGGCTTCATCGAGCGAGAAGAGGTCAGCACTTAATTGTTAAATTTTTTCCTCGACCATATCTTGTGTCTTCAGTAGGAAGTTACTTTCGTCGCTTATTGTTAACTGCAATCCTGTAATCAATTGACAGCTGAAGGAGATGGTTTTAGCACTTCTGCATGAATCAAACCTGATGCTATCGGATGAGGAAGTGGAAATAATCGTAGATAAGGTAAAACAAGGAAAATAAAAGCCCTCTTGACCATTGTTTTTTCGATCTTATTCCGTTTGGTCCAAAAGCTGACATGTTTGTTCTCTGGCAACTGACCACAGACGTTTGAAGACGCCGACTCGAAAAGCGACGGTAGAATAGACACGGAAGAGTGGAAGCAATTTGTGAAGAAGAATCCATCTCTTATAAAGAACATGACATTACCATACTTAAAGTGAGTTGCCTATTAGTCTCAGGAAAAAAGAAACATTCATGGACACAGAATGCTCTCTGGTGCAGTATCTTCGATGTGATCACTCATGTTATTGGATGTTGTGGTGCAGAGATATAACGTTGGCGTTTCCTAGCTTTATACTAAGTTCTGAAGTTGAAGATTCAGATGTATAGCCCTTACATCAGCCCCACACCGAGACGGTAATGTTTATGGCTAGTTTCCATCATCAGCACGCAGCACTCCTGGATCGAAAGCAGTTAGTGGAGATGACAAGAGTGCACAGCAAGAACTTGCAGTTTTGCTGTGTTCGTGGTGCAAATGCCTCTATTATGATTCAAGGTCGGGGTTGAAAGAGGGGCAATACCAGTGTGTAATTGTAAATATAGCATGTTTTCTGGGGGATATTAGTGCTATGTTCCAGTTATGGCAATTTTGTTGTATAGTAGTTGTGCCGATCGTATGATATTCCCTGAGTTGCTAATGCTATATATTTGTAGGTTTGCTGCTTGGTGTTGCTTTGCTTCTTGCTGCATCCATCCCAAGTTTTGGACTCAACCAAAAAGATTGTTCTTACTGAATGCTATTCATTTTCTGTTTTTCGTCCTTACGGCGAGACATTTCTCAGGATGCCAAACATGAATCTGGACTGGACAATTTGTGCTCTATATGATTCAAGCCTGGGTAGGAAGTCCCCCACAATAATGCAAGAGCTCTTTTCGTCGAAAGAAATAGTACAACGATTCTTTTGTTATCATTCTTGGAATTCGTTGTCTTCTCCATGTAAACACCATATTGTAGAACTTTAATCCATAAACTAGATATTTAGCCCGCGTTTCACGGCGGACCGTTTGATTACATCAAATCAATTTCAATTCTCAACTTGAAAACTATTTGTTTTCTATTCTATGGGTCCCTTCTTAATAATAAAGGGAAAAACATATAATTTCTTTAATGGTATTTCTTTTAAATCAAGACAAAATCAAAGTGAATCAAATTCAAGTTCTCAATCTTTGAGTGGTTGCATCCTTGCAAGAGATGATGCAACTTTAGTAACTTGAATATCACGTTAGACATTGACTGTAACTCTGCCTTTGTCATGGACTCGGTGGGTCATTCTTTCTTCTTGCAACATTAAGAGTTTAATGAATTAACAAAGTTAATAATACTATGATCCGTGGTTGAATGTCACGTATCCGCATATCCTCCATACTGGTAATCAGCAAAGGTTTTGATGATTGGTGCATCATGAGCATGAAAAAACCCAAAGTATATTGTGATCCTTACCACTTTTGACTTCAGAAAAACTGCAAGCAAATAAGAGCGTAGGATACATATGAGATACTTAAACTCCTGAACATGAAGATTGCTAATGAGGTCCAACCATATATGTGCCATGAATTAATACAATGGATGTTGGACTTTTGGAGCAGAGATAATTTAGTATAATAAATGACACTAAGCTACTGTCATAATCCTTTTCCAACAAAGAGGAGCATCACATAATTTTGATGCTAAATGAAAATCTTAGAACTCGTTCTGCTACAAACTGAAAGCAACCCTTACTGTCAATCCCTCTAGGTGCTCCTTGTTCTTCTAAATTGATCATTCCTTTAACATTTTGTAAGGGCCTGCATGGTTCTACATTCAGTGATTCTACCATAGCCAGCCCCCTTAATTACTCCCATTCAATGATTCTACATTTCACCCGTATCCACCACTATTAAAATACATATATGTAAGGGACTGCATGGTTCTACAACTTGATATCTGCACAACTCCTTCAGCAAAAATGCAGGCATTTGATATCTGCACAACTTAAAATCAACCACTTTAATTTATAGCTCTATCTTCTATCACAGTTCATACATTTTCTGTTCATTTAAGTTATAACTTACCGATGTTCAAATATGTTTGATCCTTCATGAAGCCCCATCGACCTAGAGCAAAGCATGGCAGCCTTGGAACTTGAATCATCATCAAGTCCAATGACTGTTGTTCTATGGAATCCATTATTTGCAGCGCCAGTATCACTCTAGGGTGTGCAGTATTTCTTCAATGGTGGGACTAAAACCCCTGACAAAACATCATTGGTTCTGCCTTGTTAGAGCTAACTTCATTGCATGATCAAATCAAACTCAACCTAGAAAATCAGTGACTTGTTCTTAAGTAATAACTACTGAAATTCCAGTAAGCCTTAACAGCTTGTTTGTTTTGAGTAATCCCAAAACCCAACAACAGAAAATTATAAACTTAAATACTATCATATGTGTTTGCATAAAAATACAATTACAGAACTGGAGTGGAGAGAAATCACTTGGATAGAAAAATTAGTCTATGCATAAGATAAAGAGAAGATGATAATGAAGCAAGGGACTATGAGTAGAATGAAAATGGGCAAAATACCTTGATGGCTGCCTCAAGCCCAATTAGTTCAACTGAATTACAGAGGAAAAATAACCAGCAAAACTCATAGCACACAAATCATCAATTTCAATTGCATATCGATTTTAAAGGGGAGTGGCTGTTGAAGAATGACGGAGAGGAGAGTGGGAGCTTACAAATGGTATTAGGTATTGGAGCCGCTGCTCTTACAGAAACTCATGCTCAACAACGAAAAAATCCACATAGAGGATTTGCCTAGAGATCAACCCACCTCCAGCTAGAAGCCACCATTCCCATCTCCAAATTTATCTATAGGCTGTGAATCCGTGGAGAAGAATGAACCATAGTTGAGGAAGCTTGCAGGAAAGGGTATTTTTCAAGGGAAAAGATTGCCTGAATAAGGAGAAGAAGAATTGAGGAACCAAATTTTAGGGCTTAGGATCCCTTTCCTCTGCTTCTTGTTTTGGTTCCGCAGAGAAGAATCATAGAGAATAAGAGAATGATTGGCTGAGGAAAAGAACAGAAAGAGAGAGAGAGATAAGGGCCAGAAGGAGAAAGGGATAAAAAGAGCAACAGGTGAGAGGAGATGAATGGTCGCAGTGCCGTAGAGAAGAACGAAATAACAGAGGCAAAAGGAGTTGGCACAGGAATCTAGGGATATGATCCAACGGCTGTAAATGGACAGGCAAATCACTGATCATTGGCCATGCTTGAACAGCCCAAAGGAATGAACATGAGCTCACCTAATTTCGCCCACACTGAATCCAGAATGCCTTCCGTGAACAGTAACTCTGATTTTTTCTTGGCGAACAGTACCTCCGATTTTTTAGGAACTTGGGACTTAATAATTCTAATAGTTATGCACATTAGATTCATGAGCAATAGTGACGATATATATGCTTCCATCTAACAAATTATTATCTTGACGAACCATTGCTAGCAGTTGACATACAAAAAACAAGATTTCGTAGTATAGGCCATACTAGTCCACACTCCAGTCCACAGGGACATCTTTTGATGAAGTTTATAATTTGAGGACTAAAACGCAATACAATCCTTCTCTAAAAAGTCGAAACAATTCAGTTGGGGGTGTTTGTGGATGAGCCAAAAGTAGAGGAGCCAAAAGGTCATTAAACCTTTTGAAATGGGAGTTACTATTTGACGCCCTAAATTTTTAAATTCTATCGCCCTAAGCCATACGAATTTACAAAACTGTCCTTGATTTAATTTTATGGTTTATTATCAGGGCGATAAATTGAAACGATTAGCCACAATCAGCCACCACAAAGTAAGAGTTAGAAAGACCATACATCCAGACGGTAGCACAGTCAAAATCTATCCAACGATTCATAAGAAACTAAGCATCCGTCGCAGTCCAAATTGAGCATCAGAACAACAATCAATTCATTGTATATCAGACACAACTCTAGATAAAGAATGCTAAGCTAACATCGGGAAACCTGCCTACAGCCTGCGGGCTATGGATTTTCAACCCATACCGTCGGAGATGCACAAAATAAAATAAAATAAACGACGAAAGCGAGCGGCGACGGCAATGAGCGGCGACGACCGACCTTCTTCAACGACTGTAGCGAACGGTGACATTTAGTCTTCTCAACTCGATGGCCGTGTGGGATCGGTCGGAAGCAGAGGCCTGCACGCGACAAACTTCTCCTCTCCTCGGTGGGCGCAGAGGTCGGACATACAGGAGATGGCGATGAACCTGCCCTTCCTCTTGCGGTGGGGTTCTTCTCGCCGGGCAGAGAGCACAGGGCGGCGGCGGCTGGGTCGGTGCTTTGTTGGGGAGAGGAGAAAGGTACGACGCTAACGGCCGGGTTAGTTTTAGGATTAGGTTATTTTGTGATCAGGGACAAAATAGTCTCTTTGTGTAAATCTAGGGCGATAAATTCAAATAGTTAGGGCGACGATTAGAAATTCAGTTTGAAATTGAAGACCCATTGCTCTCGTCGTCGTTGTTGAAATCCGGCAGTCGGGCTTTGGGTCCGTATCAGCATCTCATTAGCTCATAGCTATTCCAAAGCTTCTTCTTTAGGGGTCGTTTGCTTCAAGGATTTGGTACATGGATTTGGTACCAAAAAACCAACTATCAAGGATTTAGGTACAATCCGTTGTTTGCTTGCACATTTTTTGGAGACCAAATCCGTGGGGCCCACGGATTTTAAGGGTCCAAATCCGTGGACCCCACGGACTTATAAATCCCACATATTGATGTGGGATTTGGAATATGGCATAAATCCTTGATGAGATTTTACCTATATACCCTCATGCCCTTCTAATATTCCAAGGTTGACCTCAAATTTAACTATTATACATTATAATTAACAATAAATTAATAATATAAACGTTCAATTAATGTGCAAACATGAGTTATATTTTTTATATCATTTCTTGTGTTCTAGTTTTCTTTGACCTTTTTCATGGAACGTGTAATTCTTTGTTCTCCCGATTCTAATATATGTTGTTATATGTTACTTTTGAAAAGGAGGACAAAGAATTGGTAATTGATTATGTTACGTTAAAAGTTAAAAAGAAATTTTCTCGTTTATTATTATTGTCCATGTGGCAACATTATGCTTATTAGTATGTATTGTCCTTGTTTTGTGTACATATCATAAACATGTCAAACATATAGAAAATGATAGTAAGGTAATTTTGAAGTTTTGTCCTTGTTTTGTGTACATATCATATACATGTCAAACATATAGAAAAGGGCAGTAATGTAATTTTTGACTTCAAGTAATAAATCCCACACCTTTAAATCCATGATAAAAACATCCCAACAAACAAAGGATTGTTACAAATCCATGATGTCTCAAATCCTTGATAAATCCTTGGATTTTTAAATTACAAAACTCTCATTTTTAAATCCTTAAAGCAAACGACCCCTTAGTTTTCTCTTTTCATCAGTAAGGTGAGCGGCGGCCGAAGGTGAAGGAATTGTTAGTCAAAGCTTGCAATTGGTTGTCGTTAATCACAGAGGGCTGAGGAGAGTGCCGCGGCGGTGAAGAATTTGTTTCGTCGAAGTTCACCATCGCCTGTACGTTTATTCTATCTACTTGCTCTTTTTTTCCCCCTCTCTTGTTCAAATGGCGCATTGGGTTGTAGGGTTACAGTCCCAATTAATTTCTCTCCGCCATATCTATCCGTCTAAGCTTCAGCGATTTCCCTTCCAAAATCTTTCTGGGTTTGTTTTGGCTCAATCCACATAGTGATTGCTGTAGAAGAATCAAGTCGTGGGTGGTGGCTGGTGCTGCCGTTTGTGGTCATTTGGGCAATAGTTGTTTAACGTTCTGTCCCTCACAGTTTCAGTCAGTACTTTTTCGAGAATTCAGATGGATTGTTTCTTGCCCAATTTGGATTTTTGGTGGAGTTGTAAATGGTAGTTAGTTTTGGACTAGGCTACCAAAGGAATGATTGGTAGCATGAAAGGGTTTCAGTAGGATAAGTGGAATGTTGGACCAATTGATTATGGGAGGAGAAATGGGGTAGAGAGTTGAAGGGACTCTGTTGATAAAGTCGATTCATTTACATGAAGAAAAACTTCTTACTTGTCTACTCTAGTGATCCAATTGATTTGCTTATGATGGCAATAACTGCAAGCTCACCTGGGATGCCTTATGCATAGCTACTTCTTTCTCATTTCGATCATGACCACTGTTATCTAGACATCAATGGTTTTAGCTGATGCTATAGATGCTTGGTGGAGAACTACAAATTGTTATTCTTTCCCGAAAATTTGTTTTTCGTTTGAATGCATCATAACTAGAACATATTCTTGTCTACATCGAATGTTCCATATGACATATTAGCTGCTACAAGTAACATAATGCTTTTCTATTTTCTTCCTTGAGAGTTGGATGATTTTGTTTCTCTTTTCCTGATTGCTGAGTTGCCTCCGGTGATCTCATTTCTCAGGAGGATCTCTGAAAGATGCAGACATTGGGTGATTTTAAGCTCCCCCAGTTTTTCAATTATCCACCGTACTTCACGTAAGTGTCTGCCTTTTCCATTCACTTATTCTTGCTGTATTCTACTAAGGATGGCTCCATTTACTCCATCTAGTCTGCATTCGTAATGTCTGCTAACTCCCTGTAGATAAGAACATAATACAGTTGCATGTCGAGGAGTTGCATAGTCGGTTGGGTTACTAAACATGGGCAGTAGATGTATATCCATTATGAATGATAATTGCAACGACATTGAAAGCCTCATTGGTCATTAAGAATGTAGTATTCATACAGGCTAATATATTTTGAACTGGCTAAGGAGAGTAGTAAATTAAATGTTTATCTGCTGTTCTTCTATGGGCAGAGCAGTTACACTGTTATCACCCTAGTTCTTGTGCTGACATATTATGGCATCCCCTTGCCTTCAGTCTGAAGAAGTTTGGGTAGAAAAACTTGTGGAGAACAGCATGTATTTAATAGTTTGGGTATAAGAAAACTAGTTCTTGTGTAAGTTCATACTATGGCCTACAATTGATTCTCTAACAGATGAAGAACATTGGGTCTTCTAATGACCACTTGTTATAGATACCTTGTTCCTTTCTGGCGGAAAAAATAAAAAATAAACATGTGTTCCTTCTCCTATCCCTCCAATCAATTGTTCCTTTTCTTTTCACCTTCATGATTCTAGTTCAGGTTTCAATGAGATTGCATAGTCTATTTTCTTTTTCCTTCTTTTCTTCTATTGTTTTTCACATCATGGTTTTTATCATGAAGTTTGCAACCAGTAAGAGACACTCGAGACAAGCAGATTCAGCTCTGGAAGGAACTTATCCTTGACTACTGTAGAACCCAGAAGATATTTGTAATTGGATTAGAAGAAGAATTCCCTCTGTTTGCAAATCCTGCAATTGAAAGTAAGTGTTGTTCACTTGGGCAGTTTATATTTTGCTATTTGATTATATTGAACTATGAAGATTGAAATTACTACGCTGATGAATTATGAACTTTACATCCCAGTGGTTTGACACTTCTTGATTCTGATATGATAATAAGGGTTGGGTAATTTTTGTGTTTTTTTTTCTTTCTGTTTTTATCTAATTCTTGGTCTGGTATTGACTGGCAAAGATGCTCTGGGTACTAAATCTTGGGTCCTTTGTTAACTTTTGAAATTTGGACTCGTGCTGGCTGATATGCAATGGTAAATCATAGTCGTTGCATCTATTGTAGTGGCTTTTTGCTGGTTGCTTTGTTCCTTTAAATCATGGTTTGACACATTTGTCCAATTTGCTGTAATATTTTCCTTCCTATTGTTTCCTCTTCCTTTTTGTGCAAATTAGTTTTAGTCACATTGTAAGGCTTGTGTTAACCTGCAGGATCTCTAAGTCATGAAGCGAGGGAGGCATTTCTTTCGGCATTGGTATCAGAAGTTTAGTACTTTTCGCTTACCCTAATTCTTTATTGTTTTCCTGCACTTGGTTTCCTTCCTTTTACTTACTATCTGTATGCCAATGAAGTATCTATCCTCAACTATGGTTTGACAGGCAGAGTGTCTCAATGTATTGGTTTTACTCAAAACAGGTCGTGCCGAATGGTTAGATAAAGGACATAAGAAATGTCTTCTTCTCTGGCATCGTATTCAAGATTGGGCAGATATTATCTTAAATTTTGTAAGCCAATCATGACTTCCATAGTAGCTATACACTCACTTGATCTCAGTAGTTCTTTTCTTTCTCAACTGATATACCTGAAAAAAATTTATCAGGTCAGAGAAAACGGCTTGGAGGATGGTGTTACAACCATCGAAGAGATGAGGTCTGGGATTGAATCACGAGGAACAGGTAACTTCAGTGTAGCGATAAGAAGTATCCCACTGCATATACATCCAATCAACATAGCTAAGTGATAATGTGAACAGAAAGGGTGCATAAATCATTCCCGGGTTGTTCCTGTGTACATAAGCTCCACCTTATAATTTGGTTTCCCCTATAACATATCTGTGAACTGATGGAAAAGTTTATTTGCCTATATTAGAGCTTCACGGGATTGATCGAACAATTCTGATGCGAGCACTGAAGCTGTTGGAGAACAAAGGAAAACTAGCAATCTTTAAGGGAACTTCGACTGATGACGAAGGTGTTAAATTCTCTGTCTAGCATCTCAGTCTGTAGTTGTAAGTTTGAAGGGATGTTGTTCTTGGTAGATTGGTCTTGTTGGTGATTCAGTACAAAGACCATTGATCATGAATAATTTCATTGAGTTGATGATTGTCAGTTTAAAGCTGAAATCCACAAGTTCCAGATCTTTCATTAATCTCATTTACTTGTCAAATGGAGTAGGTTGATGTGCTATGTTGTTTGATGCTTGTAACCCAAGCTTTAGTTGATGCATGACACTTTCTCATATATATATATATATATATATATATATATATATATATATATATATATATATATATATATATATATATATATATATATATAAGAGAAAGTGTCATGCATCAACTAAAGCTTGGGTTACAAGTATATATATATATATATATATATATCATATATATATATATATATAAGAGAAAGGACAATGGTCGACAAATAGTCAAACCATCGATAACAAAACTTTTTTCGTGATACTACGGCAACTCTTTGATACCCGTATGGCGTGGCAGTATCCGTGACTTCAACTTATAAAGGTGAAAATCATGGCATGAACCATGCTAAAAGTGAAGTAGAAAAGCAAATCCTAACCAATGTTAATTTGATTTCAGGGTAGCAATGAATGGTGGTTATGATGAGAATTTGGTCCAACCAAAAGGATGCGACAAATTCTCTGAAAGTGTCATTTAAATTATACATCCATATCTTATCCAACGAGTAGTTATGTGTGTACGAATATACCTGCAATAATACTTTATGACTTGAATAATAGATGACCCGCCTATAGTGAAGTATAACAAATCCAGCAAAATACACTCCCTATTGCATCTTACCAATAAAACCCAAGCCAATTGATATGGTGTTGATGCATTGTCCTCGTCCCAATCCAAAATAATTGGGTTCGTCCGATTCGTCCAAGTGAATGGATATGTGGAAAATGTTGCAAATAAGAACTAATTTTGTGTGTCATTCGTTATACATACATTCACTAGATTAGGGATATCTAACAAATCGATAATTATTAAATTTTATTTCTAACTAAGTTTGTCAACAAATTATAAATATAACTAACATAGCGATCATTTTGTTCATCTTAACGAAACTTTTCGTGAAAATTATGCATATTTGCAGCTAACTCTCTCGAATTACTTGTCCCTGTAATTATGTATCATCTTAGATGATGAATGGATTACAATGATTTCCATGTCATCTGATTAACTTGAGTGACTGACATGCTAATGTGGTAAAAAAACCAAAGTGGTGGTGACTATTGAAAGAAAACCAAAGTTCAGTGGCTGATGTATCACTAATCTCAAAGTTCAGGGACGTAATTGAGCTGCCAAAACAGAATTTCCCACCGATCGGATAATCCATCTATAATTCAACGGTATGGAAAAAAGAAACAGAGAAGAAGACCGAATCAGAGATCCATAGCATTTCCGATTGATCGCTTACAGACACAGTGACAGAATCCAGTTCCCTCACTTCCTCCTCAATCCATTGCACTTTTACATTACTCTTTCCCAGGAATCCCGTAATCTGCCATATCCCATCTCTTTCTTTTCTTTACACATTTCTTCTGCCTTTTGAGCTATTCCGCTTTCATGGCCGCTGATCGATTCATATGATTAGCTTTTCAGGTGGAATAGAGGTACTCGGAATCCATTTCTGTAAAAAGGGTCTTCTAATCCATCAGTTGGGAAAGCGAAAAGTTGCGATCTTGTCTTCTTCCTGGTTTTGCTTCGTTGTCTGACTGTGATCGGATCCATGGAGTTATGCTCTCCTTTGACCGTCAGATAGCAAACTAGTTCGCCACTCACCAGGCTGCTTAGCGGGTAAGTTCGTCTTAGAAGTGGGGTTTCCTTGGCGTGATGTTATCTTTATTGCTTCTGTGATCTATTTTCCTTCGTTTCTGGTTCTGAAATCTCTGGAAATGTGGCTCCATGTTTATACTTCAATTTATTGAACTTGGTCGATGGTCATTGATATTGTGAACAATGTATTTGAAATCCATTTCAGAAGCAACACTGTAATTGACATTGGCTATACTGATCAAAGGTTTGTAAGTTTGCTCATTTGATCAACTACTCGCATGTTAATCTGTTGCAGATTAAACGAGAGTTTAGTGGCTTCGTGGATACTGTAATGCAATCAGCTGATGAGAGTGAGAACAAGAAGTTGAAGCGATCAAACGATATGCCTGTAACTGAGAGTACCAATCCACAAAACATGGACGACTCTATCTTCTTTCCGGTGGAAGAGATTGTTCAATCGCCTTTGCCTGGATATGTTGCACCAAGTGCGATCAGCTTTAGTCCGGATGATTCATTGATAACTTTCTTGTTTAGTCCTGATCATTCTCTCAATAGAAATGTCTTTACTTTGGATCTCAAGACTGGTAAGCAGGAATTGCTGTTTCGTCCCCCTGATGGCGGACTTGATGAGAGCAGCATTTCACCAGAAGAAAAATTGAGAAGGGAGCGTTCGAGGGAGAGAGGTCTTGGAGTGACTCGGTATGAGTGGGCCAAGTCTAGCTCGAAGAAGAAGAAGATTATGGTGCCATTGCCTGCTGGGGTGGGTTGGCTTTCTTTTCAGGATGCTAATGCTGTAAATTGGGGTTTTAAGCTTGCTAATGGTACATCTTCCATTGGTGGCAGATTTATTTCCAAGAATTTTCTTCTTCGAAGCCTCAACTGAAGCTTCCAAGCTCACCAACTTCTCCCATCATTGATCCTCATCTCTCTCCAGATGGTTCCATATTAGCTTACGTTAGAGATAGTGAGCTACATGTTCTAAATCTCTTGCATAATGAATCTATACAGCTAACTTCTGATTCCAAGGGCCATCAAGTGGTAAGTTCACATTGTCCTTGTTTTTTATGAGGTTAAAGTAAAACACCACTAGTCATCTATTTCTAGATGCAGGATAAATGGTTAAAAAAGGTTTTAGTTCAGTTGTTAGTCATTGTGATTGTGAAAATTACTGTTTTCTCATGAGATGTGACTACCTAAGCATGACAAAATATCTCTTACATTACTTTATACAGTACTTTGGTCGTAAACTTTGAGAAAAGAATTCAAAATTTTGCCTACTAGCTAGTGTATCACATTTCAAGTTAATTTTTGTTCGATAAGGATGTGCTATTCTGTTGAGATTCTTTTTATTGTTGAACTGACGTTTCTATGTTTTCTTCAGACTAATGCTCTTGCAGAATATATTGCCCAGGTAAGGAATCATCCCATCCTTGCTTTTATATCTCTTAACCGATCACTTCTGCAAGTTTGGACAACATTTTGCTGAGGTTGTTGGGTTTAAATGACTACAGGAGGAAATGGACAGGAAAAATGGATACTGGTGGTCCCTTGATAGCAAATTCATCGCGTTCACTCAGGTCGATTCATCTGAGATACCTCTTTTTAGAATTATGCACCAAGGGAAAAGTGCTGTTGGTTCTTCAGAGGCAGAGGAAGACCATGCTTATCCCTTTGTAGGTGCTTCAAATGTGAAAGTTCGTCTTGGGGTAGTTTCTGTTGCTGGTGGTCCCATCACTTGGATGGATCTTCTATGCGGTGGAACAGATAATGAGGAATATTTGGCCAGGGTGAATTGGATGCATGGAAATGTTCTCGTAGCTCAGGTTTTGAACAGGTCACACACAAAACTAAAGATCCTGAAGTTTGAAATCAGGACAGGGAAAAGAGAAGTGATTTTAGTGGAAGAACAAGAACCCTGGATCAATTTACACGACTGCTTCACTCCCCTGGACAAGGGTCTCAATCAATACTCCGGAGGTTTCTTATGGGCTAGTGAGAAAACCGGTTTCAAACACCTTTATCTGCATGACGAAACTGGAACATGCTTGGGACCAATCACAGAAGGCCAATGGATGGTTGAGCAACTTGCTGGTGTTGATGAGGCTGCAGGTTTCATATATTTTACAGCAACCCTAGATAGTCCTCTGGAATCGAATCTTTATCGTGCTAAATTGTACCCGGATCATGGCACCAGAATCTCAGAGGGTCCTTTGAGATTAACCCATGGTAAGGGGAAACATGTGGTTGTTCTTGATCACCATATGAGGAATTTTATTGATGTTCATGATTCCATTGATTCTCCACCTAGGGTTCTACTTTGTTCCTTGCTGGATGGAAGTTTGATAGCACCTCTTTATGAACAGTCAGTCGCCATTCCAAGATTAAAGAAGCTTGAATTCGATCATCCAGAGATCGTTCAGATTCAGACAAATGACGGGACTTTATTATATGGGGCTTTGTATAAGCCTGACCCAGTGAAATTTGGACCGCCACCATACAGAACTGTAATTAGTGTGTACGGTGGTCCTGGTGTGCAGTGTGTCTATGATTCTTGGATAAATACAGTTGATATGAGAGCACAATACTTTCGGAGTAAAGGCATCCTAGTGTGGAAGGTCTGTGAGTTCTAACTTGATTGCTCAAAATTGGTTTACTCAGTTTTCTTTTCGGTCATACTACCTGAATATGCATTAAATTTGTTCTTCCAATCCAATTGATAGGCAGAGTCATTTTTTCCATTCAGATTTAATCAATTTGTGGGATTTAGGGCGAATAGTTGTTAATAAAGTCAGTTTTAAGAAGAAGAAGAAGAAAAAACATTGTTTGTCTTACTTAGTAAGTGAACTTGTTTTATCAAGTCACTTGAGCGAAAATTCAGACACCAATACTAATAATGGAATTTGCTTGCTCCCTTCTCACAGTTGGATAACAGAGGAAGCGCTCGACGAGGGCTCAAGTTTGAAGGCGCTCTCAAATGCAATGCTGGAAAAGTTGATGCAGACGATCAACTAACAGGAGCTGAGTGGCTCATCAAACAAGGGCTAGCACAAGCTGGCCATATCGGGTTGTATGGATGGAGCTATGGAGGTTACATGTCGGCTATGATCTTGGCCAGGTTTCCCGACACTTTCTGCTGCGCTGTTGCAGGTGCTCCTGTAACCTCGTGGGATGGTTACGACACATTTTACACAGAGAAGTACATGGGGTTGCCTCTGGAAAACCCTAGAGCCTATGAATATGGCTCGGTGATGCATCACGTTTACAACCTGAAAGGAAAGTTGTTGTTGGTGCATGGGATGATCGACGAGAACGTTCATTTCAGGCACACGGCGAGGCTGGTGAATGGGTTAATAGAAGCAGGGAAACCTTATGAACTGTTGATATTCCCGGATGAAAGACACATGCCGAGAAGACACAAGGACCGTGTGTACATGGAGAATAGAATCTGGGAATTCATGGAGAGGTGTCTGTAACATTACTTATCGCCTGCAACCTGTTTATAGCTGAGTGGTGTTGTAAGGTCAGTAAAGGAGTTGCTAAATTGCTCACATGTATTAACATTTCTCTCTTTGATCATACCTCTTACTGTTGTTGCTGCCTGATCTGGAGTGAATTTACTCGATTGCTGAAGGTAGCAGACACTCAGGAACAGCTTGCAAGACCGTTCCATGTAGTATGTTGTTCACTGGCTTTTCTGGGTATTTGTTTTCAAGTACCCCTTTGTTATTGTTGACTTGTTGTACCAATTTCAGTATTTGGAGCAAGAAACCAATTTTTCTTTGTGTTGTTGTGGTGCCCAAAAGACAACTATGATAGTTGCTGCAGTAAAATTTAATCCAAGGGTTTTCACTGTCATGGAATGCTAAAGGATTACTTGTTACTACGTTATGGTGGTGGGGTTGGAATGAATTGGTCCTGTCTGATGTTATCAAGTGGTGGGTCCATCAAGCGTGGTTGTCAACCCGCTGGTCGACTCGTGGATTGACCCAAACCTGGTGGGCGAAAAAACGAGTGTCATAATGCGAGTTAACTTGAATTAAGGTTTCCGAGTTGGAGATTGCTTTAGATGTAATTTATATAATTTATAAATGTATGAATAATATAATATTTTTTTCATATGACTAAAGCGATCAGATCATAAACCCTCAATCCACTTACTCGACTAGGTTAACAGACTAAACCAAGTTGACAACCTTGGTCTCGTGATTTACTTAGCTCTTTGCCATGTTGAATGACTAACTATACTTAACAAAAAAAAGGGGGTTCATGTCCCTTTTTATGATCCCAGGAAAAAGGGGAAAAAAAGAGAGCTCATAGAACAGAAGATAAGAAAAGCTCAATACAACAGTATTGAAGGAAAAAGAGAAAACAGTAGAGGCTGTAGAAGAGGCAGGCTACATAGGGAACCGAGGAGAAAAGAGGCAAAGGCACATTCACAGAGAAGTAGGCTCTGCCTGCCTAGCTTAGGTAGATAGAGAGAGAGTTTCCAGACAATACATACAAGAACTTTCCATGGTGTTTTTGGTGTACTACTGAGGAAGAAGAAGAAACCGAAGAAAATTGTAAAAGATAAAGCTTGTTTCAGGCGTCCCCACCACCATTTGTCCGTGCGTGCTGCCGCCTGCCGGTGCCGGACAAAACTGCCGGACACCGCCAATAATTCTAGAGTCAGTGGACCTCTGGACTTGTGGGTGTAAGTGTAATGTGAACAAACACCAAACCAGCCACAATCTCAAAACCTCATCATCCATATCTTCTTCTTCTTCAGCCAACAAGCCGCCTGAGTTCTTATCCTCGGTTTCACATCATCTTTTCCACCCCCTTCCTCCACCAAGGCCCAATCAGTCGCAGTCATGATGATAATCCTTCATCCATGTGTATGTTACTTCGCTGGTTTTAGGCTTTTAGCTACATATCTTCACCTCTGCACTTTTTCATCCTAAACAAACCGAAAAATATGAGTTTGATAATGACTCAGTAACCGCACGTACATATCGGCTGCTCAATGATTCAAAACATTCAAAACCAAGATGGAATTTGATTCCTAGTCTTCTTAATATATACAGCAAGAATGCAAGCACCAACCAAGATGAAATTAGATTTGTGGTTCTTGTGCATAATTGTAAAGCATGCAACTCAGCTTCTTGGTGTTGGAATCACAAATCTCTCCTGGAGTTTAATCATATCACTAAAGAAGTGCTACAGAATCGAGTAATTTGTTTTTCAACTTGGGTTCTTCTAAGATTGATTATATTTCTAAGATTGACGATAATAACATGTTATGAAACAAAATATCTTCTCATAAAATACGTGAAATGTTTAAGGCACTGTAGTGCAGCACATGAAGGCAGAGAAAGAAAACTGGAAAAGACACAGGTCAAGTCACTCAGAAGCGCGGAAGCCATTTTTTAACAGGAATGACATAACTCTACCTAACATACAGACACAAAATGGCAGCTATTAAGCAACTAGAGCCTAGGATTAGAATGACAGATGATTTTTAGAAGAACCCATGAACCATGGCCAAGTTTAGTTAACAGGTTCTCCTCTTTGTATCCTTACTTGTGGAGTTGTGGTGGCTCCTCTGCATCCTTACTTGTGGTGGTGAAAAGATTCCAACTTGCTGCGATAACTTTGTTCCAGTGACCTGCAAGCAGAAGAAGATAGAAGTAGTCAAGAAAGGACGACAGTACTTGAAAGAGGTAGCCAAGTTGAGGCATTGGGAACCAAATAATATAGAAGCAAGAGAGCGGCTTACTATGTCGGTGTTTGTTCTCTTGTGTACTTAGGTAGTTCTGTTATGCTGTAACAGATTCTGATGCCTTTCTCAGCTCAGCAATTCCTTCTCTAATGTGGTCCAGATGCTCTGCAAGTCACAACCATGTTAATAGAACAAACCTAAAACATAGTATCTGAAATGCATCTCAACTTGAAGCATTGAACTTACAGAGCAGTGCAATTTTAAACCAGCATAAAAATGAACGAAACGAATGAACTAACTAGTTCATGGAGGGTTCAGGGCTAAACCTTGGATAACTACAGATCAGCACAATTGCAACCAGTTGGCATAGACGGCAGTAGAGCTTCTGATGTCTTATGGCCCCTCTTAAGATTCCTCTGGTCATCCATAAACCATGAACTGTGCCTATATAATTTCCTTCCATGGAAAGGGACTCCCTGGGGACTTGAAATCATATGTAATCCATTAAGGCGTTGTCGTTTGCTTCAGAATCATTCTACAACAGGGAAGAAAGAAACTTGGATATATATTAGACTAGAAAGTCAACTAATTACTGCGAAAATCAGAAGAACGTTTAAGCACGAGTACCTCATAATATGATATATTGACATGGGGAATCATGGTAGGTCTAAATGGGCGTCATGGCTGCTGGACGACAATATCTACAAGGGAAGCATGCTGTTGAGCATTGAATAAAGCAATAATGTATATCCACAAGAGCCACAGGGCATAATGGAGAATTGATTCAAACACACATACATTGAAAGTAAGTTCTTTTATCTGAACAAAGATCGATATGTTAGTAAACAACATTTAGATTGACAAGTATAATGCTTGCTCTGCTACTCCACGGAGCTGAGCACCCTCATGAATCCTTCTACTTGTACCAACATCAAACCTGTTGACGTTGATCCAATGAACTCCCACTCCAAGTATTTCATCAACCAGCCCAAAGATCAAATCTTCACATAGCATCGAAGAAATCACATGCCCCTCCAATAATCACACAGTTTGGCCAACTAATAGTGTACTTTGCATTCCAAATATCAAATCTTCACATAGCAAATAGAATTCACATGGGATTGATTATCAGCAGAGACATGACTTACTACTTGTATTCTCCTTTTTCCAAATGGTAAGCAAACCTGCTAAACCCACCACCTTACAAGCAGAGGATTTGAGGTTGCCTCCGCTTGTTTGGAGACTATCGCAAGAGTCAGTCTCACCACAATATCAGATTCTAGCAAGAGGAAGCTGGTTCTGGAAATTAATCTTGCTAGATCTCCATCTGCTTGGTAAATTTCCAATCCTCTTGATTGGACGAAATTGCTGCTCTTGGAGGCTGTGGATCACTACAAATCCTTGCTAAAACGGTAAAACCTCCTGTTTTATTTTGTACAGAAGGAAAAAGAGAAAACAAAAGAGGGCTGCAGAGGAGGCAGCGACTGGTGAGAGAAGATGGAGGACACCTCGGGAACCGAGGACAAGAGAGGCAATGGCACATTCACAGAGAAGTAGGCTCTGCCTGCCTGCCTGGCCTACTTAGAGAGAGAGTGAGAGAGATTCCATACAATACATACAAGGACTTTCCATGGCCTTTTGGGTGTACTGCTGAGGGAGAAGCAGAAGAAGAAACAAAAGAAAAATGGTAAAAAGACGGAGGTTTTCTGCGGTCAGTCGTCCCCACAACTTTTTGTCCGCGCTGCCGGACAAAACTGCCACCACCGCCAATAATTCTACAGTGGACCTCTGTAACTATGAATGTAAAATGCAATGCGAACAAACCCCAAACCCACCACAAACTCAAAACCTCCTCATCCCCTCCATTTCTACTTCTCTTCCTCTTCTTCAACAGCAATCTTCCTTAGTTCTTATCCTTGGTTCCACATTTTCCTTTTCACCCTTTCTCCCCCTTCTACCTGGCGAAGTAGATAGTAACACTGTAACAATAGTCTCCTCCTTCCTGTTCCTGGGCTCCAGAGAGCTAGCTGTACAAGTATTAAGAGTACTGCTGCATTCAGTAGTTCTTCTTCAACAGCATTTAATACTTGCAGTTTTGAAACCCCCAACCTCCTCCCCACCTGGCGGGGAATCCACACCACAATCTAAGGAATATTTGTGCATTTATATCTCCAAGTAGCGGGAGTGCTTGTGAGCTGAAATGGGGTCTTCAGAGCTTCTCCTAATGGGGTTGCATTTATTGCTGCACCTCTTCTTCTGTTAGCATCACAATGGGAATGTTTGCTTGCTGCATAGTCCTTGAAATTTAAGGCTTTGCTGGTTGGGTGGGTGGATAGCTGCTGCTGCAAAAAAGAAAAACCAAATAAAAGAAGAGGAAATGGAGAGGCTCCTCCATCTCCACCAAGGCCCCATCAGTCATAATGATAATCCTCCATGTGTATGTTACTTTGCTGGTTTTAGCTACCTGTCTTCCCCTCTGCACTTTTCTCTTCCTTGCAACAGTTCCTTAACTAGGGAAATTTCATCAACATTCCTTAAACTAGCTAAGAGTACCTCATTTAATTTTTTGCTCCTCTGGCTCCTTCCATCCTCCTCCACCTCCTGCATTTATTGAATCTTCTGTTGTTGTTTTTCTGGAAATGCTAAGTATAAATCCCATTCCATCCCATGTCAGTCAAGCTTTTCCCTTTTCCCGTTTTCCTCACCTGGGTTCCAATGCCTGCAAAACCCAGCTCATAAACATGCACATATTTCCTTCTTTTCACCTGCTTTGTTTCTCTGAGACATTTTTTCATACAGTTTGCAGGCGACCCGTATCTCGAGTGCTTAGAGCAGCAGATTGCAACCACTGCAGCAAGTTTCAGATTCCAAGAGCGGGGGGAAGAGCGAGAAGCAGTACTAGTTCAAACCGCCGAGGAAGAGGAAGAAGAAAGACAGTTATACCCAGCAAGCTCCCCCAGCTTAGACGACGACACAATGCCGTTCCTTCAAATGCTTCAAACCGTCGATAACTATGGAACTACTTCGCCGGGGCGGCCACCATTCCCTTTCTTCAGCTTCCGAGAACCCAATTTCCAAACGCTCCTCAAACTCCAGCACCTCAAGAAGCTGCCATGGGATGTCAACAACAATTTCTCCTCTTCCTCTTTTGGCTGTTTCGATTCCGCTGAAATCGACCAACAACAACCCCAATTAGTTCCCCAATCTCAAATGATAGAGCTAGAGAGCTGCAATGTCACTCACGACTACCCCAGCTTCGTCGACTCTCCCGTCAAATCCGAAACCCGAGAACTTCCGCACCATCACTCCAGCTCCTGCCCAGAAGGAGTAAGCCCCGCCGGCGGCGAGCGAGCAGCCGGGCAAGACCGAACCGTCGACCCACCAAATCCCAGCTCCGCTCCTCTTCTTCCCTGGAGTGCTACCAACACCGAAGAAGCCACCAGAAACTCCGCGAAACCGGCCGCCGATGGTTCCTCGACGGCGACGAAGAAGGAGAGAAGGAAGAGGAAGAGAACGAGAGCGGCGAAGAACAAGGAGGAAGTGGAGAGCCAACGGATGACCCACATTACGGTGGAGCGCAACCGGCGGCGTCAGATGAACGAGCACCTCAACTCCCTCCGCTCCCTCATGCCGCCCTCCTACGTCCAAAGGGTAGTTTTCTCAATCCCTAGTTTCGAATGCTCTCATCTCTCTCATCCGATTATGTAACCCAATTGCACTGACGAAATTTTGGGAATTTTTTTTCAAAAAGGGGGATCAAGCGTCAATCATCGGAGGCGCAATCGATTTCGTGAAGGAGCTGGAGCAGCTGCTGCAGTGCCTGGAAGCGCAGAAGAGGATTCGACGAGACGACGCCGCCGCCGTGTGCGAGGAGGAGTTCCGGACAGCAGCAGCGGCAGCGCCGTCATCGGAGGCGGCGGAGATAGAGGTGACGGCGATACAGAACCACGTGAACTTGAAGGTGAAGTGCGAGAGGAGAGGGAGAGGAGGAACGAGAGGGCGGCAGCTGGTGAGAGCCATCGTCGCGCTGGAGGAGCTCTGCCTCACCGTCTTGCACCTCAACATCTCTTCCTCCGCTTCCACCGCCTTCTACTCCTTCAATCTCAAGGTAATTATTAAAAATTAAAAATCCAATTTAAATTAATGAAAAAACAAAAATCCCCCCTTTTTTTTTTTTGAATTTTGATTGTCAAACCGTATTTTATTGTTCTAGAGGTTTGACTTGATTCCCTTTCTTTTCAATCCCAAACTCCAACAAAAGCCTGCGGCTTGTCTAGTCTGTAAAGTTTCAGCCATTTTCACTGTTCTTTTTTCCATGGGAGATTCCACTGTTCAACAATTTTTCTCATCGTTTTTTTCGATTCGTAAAAAGTTTGATCGAGTGGTCGTAACGTGTTCGATAAGACGCTCGCGCGATAGCGCGTTATCTTTTCTTTCGTCCTGTGTTAATGGAAAAATATGTTGTTTGGATGATGCAGATAGAGGAAGAATGCAAGCTGGGATCAGCAGATGAGGTGGCAGCAGCTGTGCATCAGATCTTCAGCAGCATCATCAACGGCTAGCTACCTATATTGGCTGATCAGTTTTTAATATTTTTAGGGCAAGTCTGTAGCTGAATCTGTTGGTACGTAGGATTGAGACTTGAGAGTAGAGTGTTGGTTGAGTGTGGGAGAGGAGAAAAGAAAGAAAAAGAAGGGGCACGAATTCTGATGGGAGCTTTTATTGGTTTTTGTTTTGTGATGGGATCATGTTAACCCTACGTGTGCATATTCATTCCTTGGTTCTTGTTTTTGCCTTTTTTTTTTCAATGGATTAACGCTTGACCGAGTAGAGGCGAAACTAAAAATTTTAGAGTCGGTATGGGTAAAGTATAAGGACCTATTCATCACGAATGTTACTAGAGAGGTGGGGGAAGGGAATCGAGCGTTGTTTCTGGAATTCGAATATAGAGGCTTAGAGGATGATTATCGACCACAGCCGCATTCGCAAGATTTTCCGGATTGAATATAGGTATTGAGGGAAATATATCAAATAATTAGGTTGGAAGTTAAGAACGTATCGAGTTTAATTTTGAGGAGTTATTCAGTATCTGACATTGTGAGGTTGAGATCAATATATAATGAACTATTAAAAAAATACAGTTAATTAAATATAGTCCACAATCTGGTCCTTCTTCATTCTTTGGGGGGACTTCGATTAGTTTTTTATTAGACTTTTCGCATCTCAACTTCTCACCGTGACAATTTTTAATGATAAAAATTAAACCTACAAGCATTCACCCGATAAAAATGATTCGGATGATGGGTGTTTGACTCATTACATGAATGTACGTATGAAGGTAATTATTTTGGTATTCTAAATTACAAATATTTCATCAAAATATTTTACGATTTAGATTTATTTTAGGATATTATTTGGTATTCAATATGTGATATGGGGATATCTAGACTCTACAAATTCCCACTCATGCAAAATAACCCTTATTTATTACTCCCATTGTTTTCCAACTTGTAAATACACACATACAATACCGTAGAGCAAATATTTACACAATGTTTGTGAAACCATACTGTACGAGCGATCCAACCGTATAAACATCAGATCAAAGTCTAAACCTATAAATGATGTTTATTGTTTAGAAATATTAAATCGTTGAACAACGATTAAATCATGATTAAAATACCTTGCAACAAAAAAAAATGGTAGGGCATATATGGGACCAGACAATTATCAAAGGATGCCCACACTGATGGAGGGAAGCAATGATGGGTCTCTTTTTATATTGACCTTGGGGAGGGGATGAGAGGTCCTTTGTAGATATTGATGTATCATCATTCTGACCCTCCTCCTTTTCTCTCTCTATTGTCCACTTTTATTTTCAAAACAATACTCAATAGCAATAGTGCACTACTAGTCTATCTAAATGAAGGAACTAGAGCAAGTTTTTGGGGATTATGTACGGCAATATGACCCAATTTAGGTAATTTCTTCATACAATTATTAAGATCATATGGGTGTCCTTACCAATGTCATTGTCCTCCCCCCTCAATGGCATTCTTCTGTTTGATTCAACGGCAGCAGAAGGTTAGTTGAAGAAGTTTCTTCTATGGTAGTCAAAGAAGTTATCAAGACACTCAATTATGGTGCTCACACGTTCCCGTAGTGTTCCGCGTTTGTTGGATCGAGAATAGATGATACGCAACCATCAAATAGACGCGATGACATTTTTTTTAATAAAAATGACATTACGTCTATCGGACGGTTATAAAAGCATATGACTCCAATCTGAAGGACGCATAGCATCGTGCACGCGCGCTTTCACATATTTCATGTGAGCACAATAACAAAATTGCAAGAGGGTCGAGCCCAGTGGAAAGTTCACAAACATTATACAACCGTGGCCAGAGAAAACGAAAATTCAAAGGCCACACAACTAACTAGAAACCCAAGAAGGCCCAGACAAGGAGCCCAACAAAAGCTAAGGCCCCGTTTAGTATAGTTTTGTTGTTGTTGTGGTTGTAACATGGTTGTGTAACACAAGAGAAACCACAACAACATAAATATAGAAAACAAAAACATGTTTAGTTCGTAATTATGAGATATCTTGGAAATCGACAACAAGAAACAGAATCGCGTTTAGTTCTTTATAACAAAAAATCAGAATATTTCTCAATATATAGAAAAGGAAAGGCTTAATACCTTATTATGGCCTGAACTATGACCATGTTATCAACTTTGGCACGTGATTTTAGAAATTAACATCCTGGCCCAAACTATGCAGCATACTAACAAAATTGGCCTGGAGCGTGGTTTGACCGTTTGTTTGGACGGTCAACACCTTTGACCGTTAGTCAACTGTCCAGGTCACTGCCATGTCAGCACAAAAAAATTATAATTTCATTTTTCTTTTTATTTCCTTTATTAAATTAAATAATGACGAAAAAAATAAAAAAAATTCTATCAGAGGAAAACACGGTCGATAAGAGGATCGACGATTCTCACTCCCGACCACCTCAAATTCTTCGACAAAGCCCTCCGCTCCGCCTCCGTCCACGGAAGCGGCCACCGTCGCCTCCGAATCTCCCGCCTCGCCACCAAAAGTCCTACCCCCAAAATCGCCTTCCTCTTCCTCACGAACTCCAATCTCACCTTCGCCCCTCTCTGGGACCGCTTCTTCCGCGGCCACTCCCACCTCTACAACATCTACGTCCACTCCGAACCCTTCTCCGCCGTCCAAAATTTCCCTCCCCCTTTCGAATCGCACCTCATCCCCAGCAAGAAGACAGAGTGGGCTTCCCCTTCCCTAATCGCCGCCGAGCGGCGGCTCCTCGCCAGGGCGATTCTCAACGACCCATTCAATCTCTATTTCGCCCTAATTTCCCAGCACTGCTTCCCTCTCCACTCGTTCCCCTTCCTCTACCGCTCGTTATTAGGGGATAACCCCCTCAGGGCTTTCACCTCGCAGCCTCGCCACCGGAGCTTCATCGAGATCCTCGCCGATGACCCCAACCTCCCCGAGCGGGTCTGGAGTGTTTTCCTCTGTTGACAACGAGCAGAAGCGAGCTGCGAGTGAGTAGACCGGCGACGGGGGATTTTTTTTGGGTACTGATTGAAAAGGAAAGAAGGCGAGGGGATAAGGTGGGGATGGGTGGCCGATTTTTTTTTTTTTTGTCATTATTCAATTTAATAAAGGAAATAAAAAGAAAAATGGAATTATAATTTTTTTGTGTTGACATGGCAGTGATTTGGACAGTTGACTAACGGTAAACGGTGTTGACCGTCCAAACAAACGGTCAAACCACGCTCCAGGCCAATTTTGTCAGTATGCTGCATAGTTCGGGCCAGGATGTTAATTTCTAAAACCACTTGCCAAAGTTGATAACATGGTCATAGTTCAGGCCATAATAAGGTATTAACCCAAAAGGAAACATGGATTGAGCTGCTGGGATCAAAATACTATTTCCAAAATTATCTGTGTCAATCGAAAGAACAATTTTGAAGAATTGGAAGATGGCTTTCCTTGAGCAACAAATGGATCACCAAGAAATAATTTGTTGGCTTTAATATCTGGTTAAAAGAAATGGAACCACAAGACATATCCTATAGAACTGTAAAGTTCAAATCCATGAATGTCATTGGGTTCGTCATCCTCTGAAATCCCATATCTTCATCCGCCGTCGGCTTCCATTACAAAAGAAACAATCTGGTCAGCGGCGACTCTTCCTCCTCCACCATCCACGGCCAACACAACTCCACCTGAGAAAGCCGGTTGGATCCGTCATTTATTTGTATTCGATCGATGGTGCAAAGAGGGCGATGGAGAGGACAGAGGCGGCGGGCGAGGGAAAGGGACGAGCGGCCGGCTGTGTTGTCACGCGGAAGAGAGAGCGTCGGCTCTGTGCCCAGCAAAGAGAGGAATTCTCGCGAGGGATAGATCAAGCCGGCAGCGAGGGAGTGATGGAGGACTTGAGGTTGGGCGATGATCTGGGTTCGTCCTTCCCCTCGAGAGGGAGAAGTCGACAGCGGCGGTTTTGGCTAGAAGGATAATGAGATGTCGAATAGGGTTTGCAAGTGGGTTGGGTGTTAAAAAGGAAAAATTGCTTTAGATGGGATTCGAACTGATGGACTGGTTTAATGAAATCAGACTCCCAACCAGGAAGAAACCCGTGTAAAATAGGTATAAAAATCATATCCAAAGCAATAAATTGTTGTTTCTCTGATTTGGGCCTGGTTGTGTGAATCTGATTCACAACAAAAAAATAGAAACCCAACTAAACATGTTTTTTCTTCTTGATTTTCACAATTTTCAGAAACACAACAGAAAACAAAAACAAGCAACAATACTAAACAAGGCCTAAGTTCTCAAACCCTAGTTGCACAATGATAGCTCTTGGAACCTCAACTTTCGTTGGACGCTTCAGGCAACGGCTTCTTCGATTATGGATGGCAATTTCGACCTGGTCCATTTTATCCGACCTATTTGGTCTGTTTTTGGACGGGGCGAGCATGGGTACTCTCATTGACCCGACCTGCCCTGACATGCCCCATTCTCGACCCATTCTTGCCTAAATTACTTGTAATCTTAGTCAAATTACTTAGAATTTTTCTTTTGTTACATCATAGTTTAGCTATCATAAAGTTGTAAATTAGTGAAAACCTCAATTTCTCCAATAATTTAACTATATTTATCATAATATTGTTTGTTTTATTGGTCTTATACTAAAAATAACGAAGATTTCTAATGTTTTCATATAAATTGTATACCCATTGGATCGACCTGCCCCGACCCACGACCCGTAATAAATTACCCGACATGTACCTGACCTGTCATGGGACGGGTCTAGTACCAAGAAACCTACCCCGAACCTGCCCCATTGCCATTCCTACCTTCGACCAACTGATGTCATGAGACGATGGTCCAAATAACCACCAAGAAGGATAGTTGGAGTCAACCTAACCGGATGGAGGGAAGCGGAAGCAACATGAGCAGCCTATGACCATTGCTCGTCGACCCAAACTCAATGAGCTCCTTTACGTCATAAAACAACAGGTTGACGTAAAGTGCGGTCGAAAGTGCGGTCGGTGAAGGAACAAGGAATGAATTCTATCTTCAAGCCAAGGCCAAACATCTCCAGAACACCGAGATCTACAGGATTGCAGCAAGTTGCTAGATGAAGGGAAAGAAGATGAGGAGACAAATTGAACTCATAACAAATCCAGCCTCTTTTGCTACTTAGATCGACTAAGCTCCAAATCTAATAACTTAGAACAAAGGACAAAAAGCTCAACCCATAGTGCGACAGTGGAGAAAGAGGTTAATCCACAAGAGGAAAAGGGACAACAAAAAGGCATGGTCCATGAAACCGTACCGGAGACCGTACCGGAAAAGTCAACTGTAGGGTATTTTATGGTAAAACCGTGGTTTTATCGTAGTTCAACCGTTATACCGTTAAATACTGCCTACCGGTTTAGCCTCCGATACTGATATTTCGTGGTTGAACCGCCGGTACGGTACGGTTTCATGGACCATGCAAAAAGGGAAAATAGAAAAAGCCTATTAATGGCTAGAACAACGGAAAAACAAAATTGAAAATGACAAAGTATAAGAAAGGAAAATAATTAAATAAAAAGTGAAATTAAGGGGGAGAAGGGTTGTCACCGGTCACTATAACGTGGTGTAGTTAGCATAAATGGTCACACAATTTATCACTTTGTACAACATGGTCACAAAACTTTTATTTTGCACGGTTTAGTAATACAAGTTTACACTTATAACAAAATCGTCATTTCCATCCATCTCCGTCCAAAACCCTAACAGAATGTAGATGTTGCTGACTCAACTTTGCAATCAGCATTTAAAACTCATTTCCAATATTTTAAGAAGAAAACTAAAAATAACGCCCCTCAACTCTTGTGCTTCCGTCTTAAAGAAATGAAAAACCCCTTTCCTCCTCTTGTGCCGCCGGCAGGAACCACAACCACCACGCAAATCCCACCAGCATGATTTACAACATCCGAGACAGCAGAAACCTACCCTAGATTCGATGGCACGAGGAAACTCGAATTTGTTTTCTTCCCCTGCTCTGCGGTTCTGCCGTGCCGCTATTGGGGCACAAACCGAAGGGGAAAACCATAGGAGGGTTGGGGTTTTCACTCATAAAACTAGCGTCGAAACTGAAGAAGCCTGGGAAAGGCAGAGGATGTGGAGATATGGCTCCGGGTTCCCATCGCCGGCGGCCGAGAGGATTCCGAAGTGGAAGACGGAAGTAGATCGGGCGGCAAAATCAGGTGAACTTTGCGGGAACTTCAGTTTCCAGAAGGAACCAAATTGACGCCCTTACAGATGTCTCTCATGGAATTCCCGACGGCGAGAGGGTTCGCCTGCGGAGAAGGGGAAGAAAGCGGAGGAAGAAGAGGTCCCCGGCCGCATTTTGCTCTATTTCTTTTCCGAAAACGAAAAGAGCAAGGGAAGGACGGAAGGTTTCCCTCTTTCTATTTTAAGAATTTAAGTTTTATGGATATTTTTAACTATAATTAAATAGTAATAAATAATAAATGATAGTTTATCCTTCATTTTGCTGATTGGGATGTTGAGTCAGCAGCCACATCAACATTCTGTTAGGGTTTTGGACGGAGATGGATGGAAATGACAGTTTTGTCATAAGTGTAAACTTTTATTACCATATCGTGCAAAATGAAAGTTTTGTGACCGTTTTGTACAAAGTGATAAGTTGTGTGACCATTTATGCTAACTACCCCTATAAGGTGTCGGCGGCAACCTTTAGAAATCGCAAAGGTCACTCGGCTAGAGAGACGGGAGATAATTTTTTTTTTTTGAAGAGAGAGTGGATATGTTGTTTGATTTTGGTCTAAGGAGTTGGAATTAATGTAGCTTTTTCGACGGAATTGGAAATTCATGACGAGGTATTTGACGAATTTGGAAATTCACCATTCTCCTATCAATATTGCTCCTCCTTCAGTCATACTCATTAGGTTAATTGTTTTTTAAAATTAGTTGATTCTACTTGTTGCAACCACCCGTGTAAGAAGAGCATTTTTAAGTCTTAACCTATATTAAAAATAAGTTTCAAATTCGAATCGACTACCCATTTACAAAGGATTGTTTAGTGAGATGTATCAAAAGTGATTTATGAGCGTGGACAATAAAATCTACCAACAATTTTCATAACTATTTGAATATTTTTAATTTTACTTCTTCTTTTATTTTATAGCTGGTGGCCGTTTGCCCAGCAGCGACAACAGTACAGTAACAGCAGTTGTAGTAAAAATGTAAAATGCAACACAAGGGCCATTTTTCACTGTAGCGGATTGCTAAGTGATTACATGCAGCGGTAACTAAAAGTTATGGTTGTGGGGTTGGATTGAATGGGTCGCGAGGGATGCAATGGGCGGGTTTGAAGCGGGTTTCTAAACCATTCCCTTCTCATTTTCAAATATCCAAACTCATACCCGTCCCATATTTATACGGGGCAATGTTTTGCAAACCCATCCTCATACCCGTGGGTTTCGGGTACCCATGGATAATACCCGTATCAGTGCATCCAACATAACTATATCTAAAACTTACAAGAAAAGCTTTACCCTCTGTTTCTAAAGGGTGGAAAAGGAGGGGAGGGAAAAGATTGGGAGGAAAGTTGGAGTCCCAATGCAATTTCCCCTTTTTTTTAAGATAGAAACAGTGCAAGGGGAAGGAAAAAGAGTGGAAAAAGTACTGTGTAACCTTCCCTCCCGATTTGGAGAGAAAACGAAAAGGGAGCTCTTTTTCCTTTTTTTTTTTAATTCTGACAATATCTCTCCTTTCTCTCTTTTTCCTTTTCGTTCTTCTTTGTTGAATTACTCAATTAATTTAAGGCTAAATTACACGTTTGGTCACTCAAATTATACAAATTTTTCACGTTTGCCACCTGAATTACTTTTCTTTCTTATTCGCCACTAACTTTACGAATTGTTTCACCGTTAGTCACCGGCCGTTACACTCCGTTAAATTTGTCCTACGTGGCAGTCAACTATAAAGTTTGACCGTTAACTAGATGACGTGGAAATTAAAAATATAAAAAAATAATATTTTTTCCACCTCATCATCTCTACCAAAGACCCTCAATGAACTTCTGATTCATCGCCACCGGCACCCTCCAAAAAATCATCATGCTCGTCACCCTCGGAATCAGGACCAATGTCACCAAATCCGGCAGCCTCAAGTGATTGATTACCATTTTCTGCATCTCCACTTTACCCACCCCCTTGGTGATGGGAATTCATGTGCTAATCGCCAGGTACGGGCCTTGCGCAGGGAGTTTGATGGTTCAAGTCGTCATCTTGCAGTGTATCATTTGGCACACTCTGCTTTGTTCCTGTTCGAGTACAGGGGGGCCAAGATTTTGATAATGGAGTAGTTCCCCGAAATGGCGAGTCGATAAGGTTGACTATGACGTCGTTTCGCTCGACTGGAGGGAGTTGCCGGAGACGAATGCTGAGATTGAGGACGATGGGAAGCTTCATGTCAAGATGAGGAAGTCGAATGTTTGGAGGCAGTCCGTTTCCGGGTTGGGGCTCAGCGGGAATGGTGGAGTCGGGTCATTTTTCGGGTTGACCCCTCGCCCGTCGAATTTGACCGGCACCGAGATTTACATCCTGAGCTCGTCGCGGAATCCGACTCCCAGGGGTTGGAATTTGAATCCGGCGGATTTCTATTCGATGATGGGAGTCCAGGGGTTTGGGTCGGGGCAGGGTCAGAGGGTTTAGAATTTCGGGGCGGCGGATTTGTACTCTGTTCAGACCTCCCGCGGGCCGATTCCCTGTCCGTCGAATTTCGAGGAGAATTGCGCCAATATGGCTACGACGTGTCTCCGAGCCCCCAATTCTCTTCCTCCGCCGCCGCCGCCGCAGCTCTGGTGAAGGGAGCGAAGAGCAATACTCTGGTGGCAGGAGCAAGGGCGACATTACACCCGAGTAGCAACAATGGTGGCATCGGAAAATCGAATCATGACGCCAAGGAACATATGTTCGTTTGGAGCTCCATGTTTTCGGCGGATTGAGTGAGTCTGATCAGGGCGTCAAAGAAATCAGGATGCTCGTCGCCGATCATCCGCAAAACGGAGAAATAGCTAAAGGTACCGACTTTTTAATTTTCTCTCTAATTACTAATTTATTTGTTTTTCTTAATTTTTTTAATTTCCACGTCATCTAGTTAACGGTCAAACTTTATAGTTGACTGCCACGTAGGACAAATTTAACGGAGTGTAACGGCCGGTGATTAACGGTGAAACGATTCGTAAAGTTAGTGGCTAATAAGAAAGAAAAGTAATTCAGGTGGCAAACATGAAAAATTTATATAATTTGAGTGACCAAACGTGTAATTTAGCCATTAATTTAACGTAAGAACCATTGTATTTTTATTTTTGTTATGTTGATGGGGATTATAATCTAATTATTAATTGATTGATGTTAGTAATCAATAGTTTCATCAAACTATATTAGTTATTTTACTCTAACCATGGTTGTCATATTGATGGAATGTTGGCATTTTCTCGCCTCAATTCATTTTTACCCCACTTTTGAAGCTAGTTGTATTAGAACAGTAATTTGGAATTATTTTAAGAGATACCGTAGTTTGAGTAAATTTTTTTCAAAAACAATATTTATGAAAAAAATCCAAACGACATAAATCACAAACTACAAATTCACTGTGTATTTTATGTGTTTAAAACTCTCATTTTGCATAAGTTGAATATTAACATACAATCAAATTATTTTAATATTATATAACCAATAAAATAACATATTCATCACACTTTTCAATACTTACTTTCCTTCCCTCTTTCCTCCATAAAACAACATTTTCCTCCAAATTTCCTTCACCTCCAAATCTCCCCTCCCCTCCTAATTTTCCTTCACCTCCCCTCCTTTTCCTCTCTTCCTTCAGAAACATAGGGTTAATTATAACTCTAAACAAACCTATAATATCATGAAGTCAACAAAATACAATCATTTTCTTAATACGGTTCAAAGTATATGATCCTAAAACATCCATTAATACATAATATATAGTATAATATTTTTCAAATTATTATATTTTGATTCTGATACATCTACTAAGTAATAGTTAACTAACATAATCTTGTTGACAAGGGGGAAAGTGAAAGAGTAAAAGTAGAATTGAGGGAATTGAATTAGATTTTGATTAAAGTGGTCACTCAATTGCATTTCTACTATTATTTCCTCGAGTTATCCTCATCACCATTGATAGATTACAATTTAATCCACATATTTTTTTATATGTGAAGAAACTCTCTTGGTGGGGTGGGTATGGGTATGAGTATGGGGTGGGGGAGGCCAAAACCATACCCGCCCCATACCCATCAAACTTTTTGCGGGTTTTACCCATACTCGCCCCATACCCGATCAAAGCGGGGATTCCCCGCGTTGACTGGGTCGGGGGCAGTCGGGTACCTGACACAATCCAATCGACCAACCCATTAAAAATATCCATCTAATCCAATCCATTTAAATTCAACCATTTGATCCAAATTGCAAATTACGGTTTGGTACCTATACTTTTTATATTTTACATTTTGGTACCCAAAATTTATTTTTTATACGAAAGATATCATTGAAAAATTACGTTTTGGTATCTAATATTTTTCATTATGACATTTTAGTACCTAAACTTTTTACATTTTACATATTGGTCCTTGGTTGAGGATGTCATTTGGATTTATTGATAATCCACCAATCTACTTGATCCAATTTATGAATCCACTAATCCATTGGATCTAATCCATTTGATCCATAGATCTATCAATCCATATATCAATCCATTTGCCACCTCTAGACAGCATCGAAAGCATCGCCAAAGCTAGAGGGTAGGAGCAGTTGCAGAGCAAGACATAGAAAGGAGGAAGACGCAGCATTTCATGTGGGAATTACAGCCCCATCCTCTCTAATTTGTTGCAACCCAGCTCTGAATATCTTAATATCTTATACAGAGCAACGTATGTACGTACGTACAATATCGAATTATTGCCATTGGTTGACATTTACTCTCTCTCTCTGTTTTATTCATTCATCAGATTTTGTTCTTGTCTCGGTCATTTGTCATCGTATAACAGTAGCAGTAGTACGAAGTAGGGCCTAATTTCTAAGATAGAAACAGAGCAAACAGAAATATCTCACATGACGTCCAGAAAATAATAACAGAAACCAGAGATGACGCCGATTCCGGTTCTGTGTAACGTGACAAGCATTACGATTTTGGAATATCTCTCTGCATGACTCACCTGAAAAAATTCTTCTATTCACATAATTTCTTAATTTGTGACCCATGAACTCCGGGTTGCCGACCATCAACCTGAGTCTTTGATAGCTTAATCATTTGCAGATATGGAACTTAAATTTTCGAAAGGATGGAACTGAGCTGATCATCCATGGTGTCCTGGCGCCGACGGGTTCCCGCATACTCCAATACTGCAGTTGTCCTCTGCATTCAGAATAACAGAGCACCCACCAAATCGGATAATTAATTAAGAGATGGAGAAGACAATTAAAAGGCTGGTTTTGAGGAGGATAATTAAGACAAAAGAACACGCCTGAAAACGTAGAGTTCTGATCGGCGTTTACGGCGAACGGCAGCAACAGAATCATCGCCATGGCTAGAGGAAAGAGCAGCAGCTGCAGAGCTCGAGATAACAACGAGGGAGCATTTCCAATGGGAATCATAGCCATATCCTGTTTTGCTTTCGTTTGGTACAAACAACAACAACTACTACTACGACCCAATTTTTGGTTTATCTAGTCTAGATAATAAATAAAAGCCGAATGATGAAAACTGTTGCTCCATTTCAAATTTCCTGCAACGAGAGTGATTATAGGAATGACATTTTGGTCTTCACAATTGCTTATTTTCTTATTTATTTATTCATAAAAAAGGCATGCACTGGGATTTGAACCTTAGTCTCTTTAAAGGCAAGCAAGAATCATAACCAATCACACTAAGTATATTTATTGTATCTATTTAAATTCAAACATACATGAACCTAAATTATGAAAATCATATGACTTTTTTAACGATTAGTTGGCCACTGAATCTCCCGTAAGTACTTATTTGGTGTTTTAATACTTTGATTATGTTAGTTGTAGTTTAATACTTAATTTAAATTTCTATCTATTTTATAAATATACAATAACCCTATAATTGCAGCCCAAATATCACTGGTTCGAATATTGCATATCGAATTGCAATATTAAACATGTAGAAGCAATATCGACTTCTTAAATTAATATTATTTTTCAGAATTACTATGGAGAAATTATATCTTTGTGCAAACTATATGAGACTGGTTCTTTTAATGTTTTAGTCGGGATAACCGCTACATTTTAAACTTCTTCATAATCTGGCATGATTGGATCCAATGATCATTATACAAGATTGTGTTTAATAGGGTGGCTCATTTCACCACTTTTTGGCGTGTTAATGAATTTGTAGGACAATGACAGGTCTACATCTACACTCATCACAATCTACACATCATATAAATGTGAAATGTGAAATGAGAAAAGAGGGATTCCATTTCAAATTTGATGCGTACAAAGCAATTTTTTAGGGGTAAATTTAGAAGATGCCAGTGCGGTCGGTCTGTTGAGCACGAAAGTAAAAAATATGTTTTCATTTAAACGGGCCCAAACTGTTATTTGGCCCACTAATCGTGCACCCATCGCCAATGCAGTCAAATTCGGGATTTTGATCGTAAAATCGTAGGATTTTAGGATTTTACTTAGGGATTCCGATCTTGATTTTACTATAAAATCGGTGGACCTTAAAATCGTTTAAAATCGGGACTAAAATCGTTAAAATCGTAAAATGGTACCGAAATCGGGATTTTGATCGTAAGAGAACAAAATAGGTGGTTTGAGCCAATTTAAAATAAGTATAACTGTTTCAGCGGAAAGGGCAATGGAATCTTCTCAGATACTTTTCTATTAGAAAAATATTCAAAAATAATAAAAATAACCAAATTAGGGTTCGGTTAATTTCTTTCCCTTCACCCCATTTAACTTATTGGTAAAACACTTGTCCTAATATTGGAAGTATGTATGAACTAACATCATTATTAACTAATTAATTTATTAATGAATATATTTGTACCAAGCCACTAACATTACTTATTTTATTGGAGTTCAATTATTTTTAGTTTTAAATCATACTTAGTAGACGATGTCGAAATATTATTTTGAGTTAAACAACCTAGACATAACATGAAAATAAGAGCCAAACCCATGAACTATATCCCTTCATCATGAATTATTTTGAGTTACACATTAAATAACAATTAAAATAGTGATTTTGGAACATTAATCTTGAGAATTATCTTATGGAAAAAAAATCTTCTGAATTATCATTTTAAATGCTATGTGTTTTTGTGATATTAATAATTTACCTTATTAATATTCTTATATGCTATGTTCTATATGGTACTTAAAATCCTACGATTTTACGATTCGATTATACGATTTTGATTTTACCCCAGTTTTCGATTTTAGGTAAAATCTCGATTTTAACTGCTTTGCCCATCGCAGCCTCTCCAAATCTTCTTATTTTACTCGCCGGGTCATCTCCTCCACTACAAAATATCTCCTCATGTACTCAAAGTTCTCACTGAAACCTAATATCTACAACTTAGGCGCAGAGGGAGCAACCGATGGATTGTAGCGACCCCCACTATTTTGATAGCTAATCAAGAAGAGCG